TGTTTCATTAAACCTGTTACCTAAAAAATCAAGAAAGAAGGATGAACGAACATACAAACTGTTTTCCTCTTGGCGCGTTTACGTAAGAAAGTTACAAAACTGTCAGAAAATGTTTTATTGGCATATTTTAAAGAACAATCTATACTTGTCTATAATGTGTTTGTACTGATTATTACTGTTTATACCCAGGGCTAGAGATACAAGGGCAAGGCCACACTAAAAAAACAGGCGTAATGCTCGTCAAGCATGACGTCACGATAGAAGACGGCAATGACGTAATGTTTAATATTTTTGTGACAAAGGGGGGTGTTTGTTTATTTATTTTCCAAGGAAAGATTAAAACAAGCAGCTGATCACAAACGGTAAACTACGTCATTGTCGTCTTCTATCGTGACGTCATGCTTCACGAGCATTTTGGCCTGTTTTTTTAGTGTGGCCTTGACAAGGGCTAGGCCACGCGAGCTCAGAAAGTGATGCCAGCTGGCTCCCCTCCACTCTGCCGCTGTGACGTCACAGCGGTACCTCGGGCTCCCGGCACCGTATAGCTTTGCATGTGTGAGCGGTGGTAATGCCTCACATTTAGTGTTGAATAAGCTCTATGTTAGACATTTTTTATTAGGTATTACTAAATTTTATAAAAGTAATTGATTTTCAAATAGGATTACGTATAACATCAAATTTTAATAAATAAATAAATTACTTTACTAGATATTTAAGGATTGGAGTGGACTGTAAAGCGATGGCTAAGAATACTGTATTTATTGATCCAATGCATTAAGTTACCGTGTAATATCTGTGTTCGTATTGCTCGAATGTATCTTAATGTATGGATTTTTAATTTATTTATTTATTATTTATTCATACCTTTTAGAGTTAATTGAGGTTATATCAAATACATTGAGGTTGTATAAAAATACATTATACTTAGTATTTTGTAACTTTTACAAGAAGGAAAAGAATTTCAATTTATCAATTACATTTTATTAGGTATACATATTTCAATCCATTAAAATAAAGTTGCCTGACTAACGGACCTCTATCTCTGTTAACCAATAACCAAGCAGTCGAGTTTTGGTGTGATTTTACTTTATCAGTTTACATCATGATTATAATTTGTAAAGTTGTAAATGTTTAGTTTCGATATTATTTATTGTGCCTCGACTGAAATGTGACATTACTTTTAGAAACTTGAGACACTATTTTTAGCCAGTTTTTGTGAACTTCATTAACTGTTTACCAACAACGAATATCGCGGGTGTGACTTTATCACTTTAATCATATTTATTAGTTGTAAATTTGTACATATTTAGTTTGTAAACTGTTTTATGTGGATATACTTACTTAATTTGAGGTCTGGGACATTCAGCCCGTTTTTGAAACATTTCGTCATAATGAACAAACGATTTGATCGCCAAATGAAAAAGAAAAAACTATTGTAGAAAATATTATAAAATATTTATTTATGTATATTTTCTTTTATAATTATGTGTATATTCATGTAGGGGAATAAGTTTCATTTTATATAGTTGGCATGTGGGGCTTATGTGTTTGAAAAATAATATACAATTGCATGTGTGAATAACAAAATGTTTTTCTAGACAAATATAAACATTTATTAAAAGTCATAAACATTAATTGAAATGATCATTTTACAAACAACTCTTACTTCATTTGACCTCTAATATTATTGCCTAAAAATGTCAACTTTTACTTTTAATCTCTTGATATTACATTTATTTGGCTTTTGTTTGAAATTTGTAGTGCAAAATCGTGAAACTTGTAATTTTTTTGTTTTTGGACCATAACTTTGTATACATGGTAATTGGATTTTTTTTACATTTCCATGTAGGGAAATAAATTCAAAACAATTTGTATATCTTGAAGTTTACATGAAACATTTTATTTTCTACATAGTGCCAATATTTTCTACAATATTTTAAATATTTATTTTGTTGCCATTTTCAAGTTCTTCATTTCGTTACGAACACTTCAAGTATACGGTTCAATGCGTTTGGTCTGTTGGTTTAAGCCTATATGAATTTTCGCTAATATGACTGCAAAATTGCCAAAAATGCCTTGCCACTACAGAGTTCGCCCATTGCAAGTTGAAGGGTTAACGAAACCCGCTTTAAAAATCACACTATATAAAACTACATTTTATAAACACAATTATTAATATGCGCCTAGATGCCGGGTGACATATGCTATGCACTGCCGTGCTAGGCTACCGTCGCGCCGCGCCGACGTACCGGCGCTACGTCACTGAGGAGGGGCGGGAGAGGGGAAGTAGGATCAGGCAAAATTTAGCTCCGGGGAATTTCTGCAAAAAGTGAGAAATCTCCTCTTTTTTACTCTCTATTAAAATACATTGTATTAGGGCCATTCTTCAGAAAAGGACAGATTACGGTCACCAAGGAGTAATAAATAAAAATTAAGATAATAAATACATAATTTGTTGTTAAATATGAAGGTAAACATTTTTTTTAATACTTAATGTAAAGAAGAAAAATATCTAAATGAAATTTAATGAACATTTTATGTCCACAGAAGGTGACATACCGTATCACTTCTGTGGACAGTCACCCCCTCTAGGCTTAGCTTAAGATTAGCTGATTTTACTAACAAATTTGAAATAAAAATTATTATACCCAATTGCTGTTGGCTATCTAGACATTGAATATTAATATTTTTTTGTTTATTTTACGTTTCCCATTCTATTAAAGGTAAAAAATACAAAGAAACTCGGTCACCAAAGCCTGCATCACATCTGTGGACAGGCATAAATAGTTCCAAAAAATCCACCAGGCAGCACTGGCCAACTTTCACCACTATTTTTTACAGAGAAGAAGTAACCATCTTGAACATAGAATCAGTTTGGTTTTGTTCTGTTCAGTTATTAGTTGTCTATATCATGTGAAACTAGAGTTTTAATTGATCGTCGAGCTAACATAGTCACTTCTGTTACCACATTTTAAAGGTAATTATGCATGTCAATTAAACCTAATACACTAATTTACAGTAGCATATGTGTTTCTCTACAAAAATAAGAGCAAACATTGTTCCTAACCTATTTACTAGACTCTATGTTAAGCATAAAATGCTAAATCATCACTTCTGTGGACACTAGCAGTTACCCGGCGCGCGTTGCTGCGCTTAACAACTATTATTTTAAAATGACAATTAAACATAATATACTAATTTACAGTAGTTTATGTGATTCTCTAGAGCAAACATTGTCCCTAACCTATTTGCTAGACTCTATAGGCATAAAATGCTAAATCATCACTTCTGTGGACACCTAGCAGTTACCCGGCGCGCGTTGCTGCCCTTAACAACTATTATTTTAAATGGCGATTAAACCTAATACACTAATTTACAGTAGTTTATGTGTTTCTCTACAAAAATAAGAGCAAACATTGTTCCTAACCTATTTGCTAGAATCTATGTTTGTTTTTTAACTTTATTTGTAAAATTTGCAGTTGTGATAGTCACTTCTGTGGACATGCTAGTTTTTAAATACAAAAAATCTGGAAAAGTCATTTTTATTTAGTGTGACCATTGCAATGGGTAAATATAAAAAGGGTCATACATTAAAATATCAAAAAAAATAAAAAAAAATATTGAAATCTGTCCTTTTCTGAAGAATGGCCCACAACGGCACTTTTGGAATAAATTAGATGTTAAGTTAGTGTTCGCAAATATTGTTATGCAATGACTGAAAATGCAACTCTTCTAGGTACTCTCTATTAACGTTTTTTTTTTTTTTTTTATTCCTTGGTTTCACTTCATTGGCCAGTCCGAAGTCCGAAGGTACATATCCGTGTTCACTACCAGAGCCAAACCGAGTCTAGCAGACACAAAGCATTTCATGTGTACGTTATTTGTTATTTTTAGTGAGATGTGACAAGCAAGATGCAAATTTTATACTTTCGCGTACTATATTTGAATACGGTATTGACATTGTAGCACGAATATTGAACAGTAACGGTATGGATTAATTAACAATAACAAATTACGTCACTGACCCGAATAGGCCTAAGTACTAATAGCCGTAACAACTGGTTTGAACGTTTTTTGACAGATCCATTTACCTATAATTAATATTTATTAATAAAAACGTGTTTACTTTCGGGCCAGTGACATAATTTATTTAAGTTAAATGAAATGTGTATGACCCATACCGTATCTGTTATAATATTTATTTGTGCTATGTTTATGTAGCCTAGGTATACAATTTTGCTAGCCTGTAAATTTTTATTTAAGTAAGTCTTAAATAAAAATTTACGGGATTTACTGTAGTGGGGACCGCCAGCTAAAATATCCTCTTTTTTTACAAATTACCAAATGGCAACCCTAGTAATAGATTATTCCCTACTAAGGGAAATTCGCTAAAAACAATTCCACGGTTTGAAAATTATTAAATCAAAAGTAGAATACCAGTACGTATGGGTAACTTACAGTTTCTTAACTGGGCTATGCTAATATTGATTGAAACTATTGAATTCAAAATATTGATTAATTATCGACATTTTTAAATATATCTATTATAAAATAAAACTATCATAACCTAACCTAACCAACCAAACTTGCTGATGGTGAAAAAATTGCATGAAGGTTTAAAAAAATCGAATCGATAGTTTCAATCAATATTAGCATAGCCCAGTTAAGAAACTGTACCCGTAGGGATAAAGTTATTAAGATATGACCTAATTTTTGTCTTCACTGTTACAATACAGTGAGACTAGGCCTAACTTAGTTTCAATAAATTCTTAGTGAGCTTGATTAAGTTTATAACTTAGCTAAATTAAGCCTTGCTATTTGAGATATCACTAAAAATTTGATAAACATTTAGGAAGAACCAAATCTAGATAAGAACAAATATTTATATGGCAAGATTGGCTCAATCCCTGAGTTTTCTGACAGATACTAGGCCTACAACTTCAGAAAATCAAAACATAACCAATAAAGTAAACAAATGAGACGTTACAAGCTCATCTTACCCTAGCACGTTCCATGTTAAAAACTCATTGTTTCTTGATAATACATCAACCTCGGAACAACAAAATGTTGGTTTTGAAGCTAAATACACAAACCACCCATATAAACAAAGAAATCCAGGGAGAGAACGACTCCCCATCACATCTTCCTTTATACTGACAGCCATATTGCTGATGAACCCAAATTTTATGCAACACTTGAACCCTGATTGGTCAGTTCTTCAACAAATAGCAAACATTACATCCAATCAAATTAGTTGACTACTTGAGCGTTTTTGTAAAGTGTGTCAAGAAAGTACTATAACCAATACATTATTTAAAGCATTGATTTTGACATTAGATACTATAAGAAGACTTTTAATCGAGTTATAAAATCTAAAGCAGGGTTTGAAGCACTTTGGAAGTGTATCTTTGTCTCCTATAATACATAAAAGCATGAGTGTAATCTGTTATTTACGTACAATCAATGGTTCTGAGTATACAGACAGACAGACAGACAGACAGAAAATCTTTATTCGAAATCTTAGAGATTTGAAAGGCGTCAATACACACAAAAATTAGATACATTGTCAAATACAATCAAAGTTCTGCCAGTCCATAAATTCTCTTATGCTGTAGAATGGCATCTTGCAGAACCAACGGGTGAGTTGAGCTTTTAAGGTTTTAGGGTTGTCATCTTTCAGCTCTCCTGGCAGCATGTTGAAGAATTTTGATCCAGCATAGGTAGCCTTACGTTCGAAGAGTCCAAGGCGATGAGCAGGGAGGTTGTAGTTGGTTTTATTTCTCGTTTCATAGCTGTGTACTTCTTCAAGTCGCTTGAGATTCCTGGTTGAGGCCAAAATAATGGTTTCTATTATGTAGAGACTGATAACAGTAAGTAGTTCGTTGTCTTTAAAGAAACCCCTAGAACTTTCCAGCCAGTCGACATCATACATGATTTTCAGAGCTTTTTTCTGCAGTATCAATACTCGTTCCAAGTGAGTAAGAGCAGCAGACCCCCAAACTGCTATTCCATACCGTAGATGGCTTTCAAATAGGGCGTGATACGCCACAAGCACAGCCTCTTGCGTGCAGACGCTTTTAATATTCTTCTCAGAGCATATAGAGCGCTACTAAGCTGTCGACATAGGTGGTCTAGATGGTCTTGCCAGGAAAGTCGTTCGTCTATAACTACACCTAGATGTTTAGTACTCTCCACAGTCAGTATAGGCCTGGTATAGCAGATACATGTTCTCTTTTGTTTCCAAAGGTTAGTTGAATGGTCTTTGATTCGTTGAAAACCAAGTCATTGCTACTACAGTAGTCCTCCGCACATCCAAGAGCTACGAGTGTTCTCATTTCCAGATCTTCAACAGATTTACCCGATGTCAGCAGAACAGAGTCATCTGCATACATAACGGTATGGCAATGTTGGTGAAGGAAACCTGGTAGGTCATTGGTAAATAATATGAACAAGATAGGTCCAAGGACCGATCCCTGTGGTACTCCCCTTGACGTTGACAAAAGTACAGATCTGGTCTTAGATATGATTCCAATTTGGACTTCTTCTAGCTCAACCAATTGATGCCTTCCTTGAAGATAGTTCTGGAACCACCTCAATGCTGAATCTTCGAAACCCAGCAGGCTGAGCTTTTCCAGTATCAGATCATGACCAAGGCAGTCAAAGGCCTTGGTCATGTCTAGAAAGATGCCAGTAGTTGTATCACCCTCCTCAATTCGGTCAATGATGTATTCCACCACTTCCACCAACGCTGTCAAGGTGGACCGTTTGCTCAAAAACCCGTGCTGTTGATTCGTTAGCAAGTTGTTCAGGGCAAGGTGATGAAACACTCTTTTTATCACTATCTTCTCAATAACCTTTGAAAATGTTGATATGAGCGAAATGGGTCTGAAATTTCCAACGTCTTCTTTTGACCCCTTCTTGTGTAGTGGTACTACTTTTGACAACTTTAGTTTGCTTGGAAATTGACCTTGCTCAAAGGAGAGATTGGTAATATAAACCAAGGGAGGTGTTAGTTCATCTGAACAGTACTTTAAGATTATAGAAGATATCTCATCCAGGCCAGCAGATGGTTTGGGTTTTAGCTTACGGATTATCTCATGTAGTTCATGACTGTCAGTTGGATGTAAGGTGTTGATGGGAGAGGAAATGTTAGGGGTAGCAACCCCTACTTTTTGCTGCAACCGTACTCTCTGAGTTCCTCGAAGGGTTTTTTCTGCAACAGAGGAAAAGTACTCGTTGAAATGATCAGCAAGAACTTTGGAGTCAGTGACTAGTTTTCCGTCGATCCTCAGTTTTTGGTTGCCATTGCTTACTTTTTTCTGAGTTCTTTCTGAGTTTATTGTCCTCCAGATGGCTTGGCTTTTGTTATCAGAGTTTTGGATGAACTCAGAATTCACCTTTCTCCTTAACTTTTTCAGGTGGGTGTCGTAAATCTTTTTTAGGTCAGCAGTACGGCGTTTGTCTTCTTCTTTTCCACTGAAAATGAATGATTCCTGAGCGGCTAGAAATTGTGCTCTCATACGGTTCACTTCTTCATCATAACAGTGAAAGCGTCTTCTTCTATTCCTGATACGAGATTTTCTCAGAGGACAAGTCATGTTCAGCATATTAGTGACTATGCTAATGAAGTTGTTGTAGGCACCTTCTACCTCAGAAGATCTGTAGACCATTTCCCAAGTCTCTTCCTGTAACTGAAATTTAAGATTTGCCAGGTTATCTGAGTTTAAGTTACGGCAAAAAGATGCCGTTGGCTTCTTACATTTTGCATTCAGATTAATCTCACACAACTGGCCTGTATGGTCGGAGATACCAGTCTTGATTACTTGAACAGCCACATCAGCGAGAAGTCCATCAGTTGTGCACACAGTGTCTATGGAAGTAGATGAAGTCGGAGAGATTCTTGTGGGGGGAAGCGAGATTCTAGTCATGCCATATTCAATTAATAGCTCGTTAAACTCAGTTTTTTGCTTAGAAGGCTTGAGGTCATCGATGTTAATATCACCTACCAATATCATCGGGTTACTTTTCTTTGACAATGATGTAAGCGCCTCATCTAAGGTTTTAAATGCTTCAGAGGTTTTCTCCACACTGTTACTCGGGGGCATGTAGACTCCTAGAATCTGAAGACATTCTGTGCTATTAGGCCAGAAAACCCTTATAGCAGAAAACTCACAAACAAGAGGTAACGTAAACTCGTCAACTCAATATTTAAACTATCAACCTCCAAATCTAAATTGTTCTTTGTACTTTTCCTCTGAGTAATATTGCGTTTGAGTACTTATGTGAAGCACAAATATGTGTCTGCCCTATTTTCAACAAACTTTGCAGTTTATGCTTTACGCTGAGGTTTTAATATCGGAAGATAATATTACTTTCCAAATAAATTGTCAAATCAAATTAGTAATTAATATAAGGTGCCAATGCACTTAAGTGTTAACAAATAAAATACAATTAATTACAAATGAATTTGCTACATCTGATTCATCACAGGCCCATAAATAAATTATGAATTACCTTTACTTAGACACTGCTAGTAGATTTTTTTATCTTGTTAAAGTTCAATCTAAACCTTAACCTGTTCAAATAAATGTCTGTTTGATTATTTGATCGGTTCGTGATAGAATATGTTATCCCCCTGAGCAAAGCCGCAGAGCGTTCTCACTCACTGTTTCTTGTACAGCTTGGAACCAAACCAACAGAAAATTCAAAAACAATCTCCGGGCACTTTTATTGGCTTTCCCACTTTATAAGACCAGCGATTTCTTCGACATTCCCAAGGAGACTGTGAGAGAGTTTTTGGTTTTGTTTGCTGTGTGATTTTTGCATTTTAGTTTTAATTTTTATGAAAATTGTATATTGTTATTTGTTCTGACGATGCCTATTGCATTTCATGCCTAATGGAAAATAAAGCATTTCATTTCATTTCATTTCACTCAAGTTAGTTCGTGAGCGGAATTTTACCCCCGCGGATTTGGGAGTCTAATGAAAATAGACAGCTGATCAAAACGAATCAATTCTCTCATTTAGCACAACTATTGTGCTATAGCTTGGATTTATTTGTTCTGGATTGTCAATTACGATTCCACACATATGATATACACCACACCCACTACCTTTGCTAAATCCAATTCAACGATTCGGGGGCAAAGCCTAGGGCCCTAGGCTTTGCCGCTAAAGGCAAATTAACTTTGTAAACAAAAGATCATAACTCAACACATATACAAACTGAGTTTTCCTACGTTTCCGTGAATCCCCAGGCTTTGCGTCAAAGTGATTTATTCAAAGTGGATAAAAATTACAATTTCTTTATTGATATATTTAACGGAAACGTAGGAAAACTCAGTTTGTACATGTGTTGAGTCATGATCTTTTGTTTAGAAATTTAATTTGCCTTCAAAAATTAAGCGGTAACTTAATATTTATGCTTATTAAAACTTCTTTCTATATAAAAACACTTTCTTCCCAAATTCTATATCTGTTTAATGGGGGTTGCACTGTTTTGTTTAAAATTATAAGGACCATAAGATATAAATTTTAATCAAAACTGGCTTATTTAGAAAATCCTATTTTTTTAATTTTATGGGGGTTTTTAATAGGAAAATATAGGTTATAATAACTTTTGAAGTAATTTTTACAGCAACGGGGGTTAATATCATCAAAATCGGACCATGGGACTATGTATGCACTGTACACATCCACACATACAGACAGACATCACTTTAAAAAAAAACCTTTTCACTGAAAACACTATATCCACTCAAAACTCAAACTCTACTATGGTATAGGGAGAGAAAGTAAAAAGTAGATATCACATAAATTTAAGGACAAGTTGTATCCAAATTTGTGTTAAACATTAAATGATCCACTCACAGAACTATATTTACTTCCTAAAATTATATTTACTAGTAAACACGTTGCTCGAAATCGAGCAATTTTAATTAAACTATACAGCTGACCAAAGTGTAAACAATTACGTTCTTCATAAGGATAACATGGAAACTTTAAAAGCCAACGGGGCAGAGCCCAAAGGGACCTTTTCAAAAATTTAAGGCCAGTTTGCAAATCTACGCGACACACTCTTTCCAATGAGACGTCAATGGATAAAATCGATTAAAGCCGGGTTTTCCTAGGCGCGGAAGCG